TCCCTAAAAAGGACGTAAAGATAAGCACATGATAGAGACAATAGACCCTTATAGGTAGCACAGTAGTAGTAGGCTTGAGATGAAAGTTTAAGGTCAATGGAAGTAATACTAACAGTATTCATCATTACTTCATAAATAATTACTATTAGATTATGAACATTCATTAACTATTGGCTGACCAGAATAGAGAAAATTATGTGATAAAACTGAATTATCACTCGAGAGCTTAGTGAAAGAAATAATCAAATTTCAGTGAACCAAGAGGTGAAGACTAAACGGTGGCTCGGAAAAGGATATACATTTTGACAACCTGGTTATTTATAACAGGGCATATCCTATCACTGGAATCAGCAGTGCAAAAAAATTTTTTTAAAGTACACGATGAAGAGAATTGTGGGATTTAGCAGTGATTAAGCCAGGAAGACTCACCCAATCAACACATATCTGCAGCAGTCGGATGTCGCAGCCATGCTGTAAACGGGTACAGGGCAATTGCATTTTCGGATGGCAAAAACTGGGTGCAAGCTGGTTGAGGGTCTATACATACAGAAAAAGAGGAGGAGATTATAAACTTGACCCCCCCCCCCTTACACACACACACACACCACCGCCCCATTTCCTTGCAGACATATAAAACTCGTTTTATCTAGCCCCTCTTTTTTGTAGATTTGAAAGTTGCTTTTAGGCTATGGAAAGATACGATTAATTGTCATTCTAAGTATTTATCATCTTTGCAAGCATTTCACGTCTATCCGACCATTTCTCACTTTTCCAAGCATTTTTCGTTATTCTAAGAACCTCATATCTGTCCAAGCATTTCTAATCTTTTAGAGCAGTTCAAGTCTTTCCAACTCTTTTTTTTGTTACACCTATCCAAGTATATCTCATTGTTCCAAGCAGTCTCGTCTCTGAACGTTCCCCTTAAGCATTTCTCATCTTATCATTTATTTCTGATCATTTCAAACATATTTGTCCTTTCATTTGCTCATCTGTCCAAGCACTTTTCATGTTCCCACACACTTCACATCTTTCCAAGGACTTCACAACTGACAAGCTGAACACACCAAAAAAAAAAAAAAAACATTTGAAAAGGGGAGAATATTTTCATGACGTCCATCTTTCTCAATTTCTGACCATTAGTCCTCGACCTCATCTGAGTAAAAGCCCGTATGTCGAAATCTTAATACCTTAGGAAAACGGACAGTTATAGAGCTTTCATGACTGACCCGCAAGTGACAAAGTGACATTTGTGCGCATTAAATTATCAGCTTTTACGACAATCCCGAATAACGGAAAACGCAAATGACAGGGGCATCTCTGTGGGTTTTTTTTTTTTTTTTTGTCTTCGATTGTTTCCTCGTCTTTCCACTTAGGTAATGACCCCGCGCTTGTCTAAGCAGACATAGTTGTTTACAGCCATCACGTTTAATGCTAGGGGTAATACCTTCTCTGTCAACACATTTGTTTGATGTGGATCAGACCTCCATAACCTGATTGTCTGTGGGTTGTCGGCCCAGGACAGCGGCTCCGACAGACTGAGTCAATAATTGTTTGGATGTTTCTGATGGTTCCTGGAAGATTGGCTTCAATCTTGGTGAACCAGTGCTTAAGGATTATGTGTGTTTTTGTGTGTCTGTCTGTTTCTTGTTCTTTATTTGCAAACATTATGTGTCTTTTTTTTTTTTTTTTAGAAACCCAAATGTACTTACTTTTCTTTGTTTTTAGACTCAGTCTGTGGATCACCTTAAAAAAATCCACACTCTGCTGACCTTCCTAACAACCTAAATACCAACCTACCTACATTTATATCTCTACTTATTTACCAAATGTCTGCTCTGTGGCTAAGTCGATGCGAACGCTTCGTGATGTCGAGATGTCGGGTTCGATCCCAGCTGCGGGCCGTGCGCCTTGCGTTGGTTTCGACAACGGTATCAAGAAAGCCGACCGTCCAGGAACCAATGACAAACTACTGGGCGTAAATTTGTCTAGAAAAACCACACAACAGTCAGGGGCAGTGAGGTTGGTTCTGCAACGTCCTGTAAAGGATACTCAAATAACCTAACCTATTTACTAAAATCTCAGCCTACCTAACTACTTATCCATCAACCCATTCGTCCGTCCGTCCATTTGTCAGTCCGTTTGTCTGCCTAACTATCTATCTGTTTCTTTGTGTGTAAGTTTGTCTGCTTACCTGCTTTCCTCTTCAGTTCATCCATTCCTTCATTTACAAATCGGTACATTTTCTTCATATGGTTCTAAGTATTACAGCAATTACCTTGTTACATTTCATAATGAATTATTTTTTGGAAAAGGTGGAAAAGGGGTGGGGGGGGGGGAGGGAGAATATGAATTCTATAACAGGGTCGCAAAACATCAAAGAAAAATTGTTTATCGGAAAGAGCACACACAGTTTGTCCCAGTTACACCGTACAAAGTTGACGATCTAGTTCTCACAAATGGATTGTGGGAATCCATTCAGGGGAAGGGTCGGGGTGAGGGAGAGAAAAACATATTGCTTCTTAAAAAGCACTATGTAAAAGACTATTAATTAAGGATGTACTTCAACCGGATGTTTAGGCTAAAATTTCTAAATTTCGTAACCTAGCTGTAAACTACAACACGATTTGTCAACCGCCATTTTAAGGGAGAACGAAGAAGAAGGATATTATGAGGAGGAGGAGGAGGAAATGGTGAAATAGGTCTTCAAATATTAACAAACAAACAATAGTGAAATGGTCACATATGACTGTGATGTATGATATAATGTTCTTCAACCCTAATTTTTTAATTTAATTAAATAAAAAATTTAAAAATTAAAATTCGTTCTTATTTACACCGGTAGCCCACTAAAACAAGGGATATTGTTTTGCCTCCAGCCTGACAGCTAACCCACACACATAAGCTTGATGTTTGAAGTTTGAACAACGGATCAACATCTTGGCACACTGGTAGTAACCCATAAGTGCTCCGTTCCTCTTCTAACTCAAGTCTGAGTCCGAAGAAGCTCAGAACAGTGCAACAATGCTCTGTAGCACCGGCGAGGATTCTGAAATACTTTGGGTAGATTTTTAACTTTAGATTTTTTTCCCGGGCAGCTCTTTTCGATTTCCAACTGCCAAAGGGATTTTTTACGTGCGCAACAATGCACGCGGGCGTCCGATCTAACACCCAGAAACCAGGGGACATTACTAGAAGTCCAAGTCCACGTGACAAAATCCCAGCTCTTACCGGGGATTGAACCCGGAACCTCTAGCACTCGAGGCGGACACTATGCCTTGCGATCACAAAGCCCTCTACACACAGAAACAAAAACAAACACAGAGCGGAGTTTGCTTGTCGAATATAATGTTACAGAAATACAAGTTTCAGCTGATGCAACCTTTTTTGATTCTCATCTGGCAGGAGCTTATCGCTCAGAGAGCAATCCTGGAGGCAAAATCTAACTGACCTACCTCGTTACATGATAGGGCAGACATGTTTGGCGACCAACCTGGAATCTTCTATGGGCCTGTGTGGTTTCGAGGAATAGCGCACGCCTTGGGTGCTGGGGGTCCCGAGTTCAGACCCCGTGAAGGCTGGGATTTTTCCACGTAGACTTCTAGTAATTTCCCCTAGTGTCTTGGCAGTTGGAAATCGAAAAAAGTAGCATAGCAGCGCTTCCCGGGCAAAATTTGGAGTTAAAAATCTACCCAAAAGTATTTCAGGATCCTCGCCGGTACTATGGAGTTCGTGCTCTGCGATGAGATTATTCAGACTCAAACTTGAATTAGAAGTAGAACGTAGCACTCCTGGGTTACTTTCCGTGTTCCATGATGTTGATCCGTTTGTATAAACCAAAACCTAGAATCTTCTGCGTGCAGCACTGGACCGTGTCCCACCACTGGACCGAGTTCCACCACTGGACCGCGTCCCACCACTGGACCGCGTCCCACCACTGGACCGCGTCCCACCACTAGACCGCGTCCCACCACTGGACCGCGTCCCACCACTGGACCGCGTCCCACCACTGGACCGCGTCCCACCACTGGACCGCGTCCCACCACTGGACCCGTCCCACCACTGGACCGCGTCCCACCACTGGACCCGTCCCAACGGTAAGAGAACATTATTCTAACCACACCTGGAGACACAAGATGGTGCTCTAGGAACAACCCGCAACCACCACACTGCAAAGCCAATGGCTAACCTTTTTGACCTTACTAATGTACTTCTTCCTGACTCCATTCGGATGCTGCACTACAAAGAGGATTACCACCTGCACATTTCTTTTCTGGCTAGCCCTTGTAATTGTAGTCCTTAAGGCATGTGTTTGAACACCGCTTTCACTAAGGAAAATATACCCGGGGACATCCATTGACTTCTCACGGCACGGTCCAACTCTAAGCCTGTCATTTGAACGCCCAGATGTTGTCGATAATGTGATTTCTCTGCTGTTGTCCATTGATACTAAAAGTCAGGACTCCTTGAGATAAAACGAAGCACAATCTTCAATATGCTTCCCCCTGTGGTTGCACTTCATACTTTATGTTTGTTTTTATTTCAGGATACTCAACTTCCGGTGTGAATTAGTATCTGAATTGTGTTTGTACTTTCCATTAATGCCTTTAAATTACTGAGCTGGGACTGCTTAGAAGGCGACTGGGCTGCCTTTGATTTGGAGAGAGGAAATGGTAACTTAGATGTTAGTGAATGCGTTTAACAATGTCATGATCCTTTAAGTGGTAGTCACGGTGGTGTAGAGACTAGACGCCTGCCTGCATATCGGAAAGTCGTAGGTTCAGGTCATTATAGAGCAGACCTTTTTTTTCGTAAATGACCTTGGCTTTCAGGTGGATCCAGCATTGAGTGAGTACCAGGTGCAATCCTAGGAAGTAAAGGTGGGTGATCACATCCCCCATCAAGTGCCTAATGGTCAATAAAAAATAGGTCTAGACCTTTTTGCCAAATACGCATAAACGCGTGGAAAGTGATCAATTTCTTACTTGTCTATGATCCCTTGAGTGCTGAGTTCCATTCCCGTGGCGGATGGTTTATTTAGTTCTTTCAGCACCAAGCAACATGAAAGCAGACGTAGTGTAGCGACTAGCCGCTCGCCTTCGCATCCAAAGGTTGTGTCCGCACGAGGCCTGATTTTTTCCCCCAGACAGACAGTCAAACAGACAGACAGACAGACCGACCGACCGACCGACCGACCGACCGACCGACCGACCGACCGACCGACCGACCGACCGACCGACCGACCGACCGAGCGACCCGAGCGACCGACCGACCGACCGACCCGACGACCGACCGACCGGACCGGACCGACCGACGACCGACCGACCGACCGACGACCGACGACCGACCGACCGACGCGACCGAGCGATTCCGACGACCGACCGGACCGACCCGACCGACGACCGACCGACCGACCGACCGACCGACCGACCGACCGACCGACCGACCGACCGACCGACCGACCGACCGACCGACCGACCGACAGACCGACCGACAGACAGACAGACAGACAGACAGACAGACAGACAGACAGACAGACAGACAGACAGACATACAGATAGATAGACAGACAGACAGACTGACCGACCGAACAATAGACAGACACACACACACATACAGACAGACATATGGATAGACAAACGGATAGATGGATGGGCGGACGGACGTACATACATACGGACAAAGAGACAGACAGGTAGGTAGATATGTACATGCATACATATGTGTATGCGTATATATGTGTCTGCATTATAAGTAGGTACAGAAGACACCAACAAACATAATTAATACATACATACATCAAACGAACATGCATGCATGAGTCGTACATACATAC